ACTTGTAATTCTCCATAGCAATGACACTGATTTGACTGACGATACTGATTTCTCTAATTTTTGTAAAATATAAAATACACTGATTTCACTAACGACACTGATTTCTCTGATTTTTGTAAAATATAAAATATAGTACTGTTGTTGGTAAATTTGATATTGTTGATATTGTTTAATTTCAAAATTATGTAACTAGTTTTGTTAAATAAACTTAATTTTTTTTATAATTAAATCTCTTATTATTTTGTAATTTAAAACTTAAAGTTTCCAAATCCATTCTTTCCCAAATAGGCTTTTATAGAATTTCATTAAAATACTTCTCTGTATATCGTTTTTCAATCAACCGTTTAGAAAATTGATATTCAATAGTTAAAATCTAATGGAATATTTCAAAAAACGTTATATAAGAATATTTAAATATGTATATTTTAGTATTCTTCTTCATTAGAATAATATCTATAATTTTCTTGTAGTGTTTATATTTTCTCCCAATATGATATTTTCTCCCAATATGAGATGAGACACTCATGGACCAAATATCTTCTACAGATGACTGTCTATTTCCTCCCCATGGAATCTAAAACGAAAGGAGTTAAATTTTATGTATTTTCTATAGTTTGAATCGATCAAAGGTTCAAGCTCAGTTCGTTAACGTTGTTAAACAAATTAAATTTGAGCTCTTTTAGTTAATTAACCTACTCATTTCGCTTTAATAAATGTTCAAGATTGAGTTCGACTCAGCTCGACTAGTTTACTCCACTCTAGTAAAGTTGTTGAATAAAACAGGTCATTTATAAGTTTATCTCGTTAAAGCTTGGTTCAACTCATTGATAATCAAGCCACACTAGAGCTCATTTAAAACTCGGTTGGTTAACATGTTGAGTCCTATTTGACCCGATAAGACTAGAAAAGATATTTTTTATATAATTTTTTTATAGGTCGACTCATTAAAATTCAACTTCGACTCATTAAGCTCGAACTCGACTCATTAATATTAATAAACGGGACGAGATCGAGCTCGATTATAGGATCGTATACACATCGTTGACACCCCTACCCTCGAGGGACCAAATTGCATAAAGTATCTTATGCTTGGATACATTTGCAATTTCACTGAAAAATGAATCCCAACCCGTGAACCAGCTCGAGAAAAACCTTATAAAAACCTCAGTCCCTCTCAGCTAAGCTATGTTTCGATCGTCCTAAACCAAAAGGCAAAGATTTTTTCAGATCATTTTCGAGTAAACTGAGATTGAGATAAGCCATGGAGTTAGCCAAGCTCTCGATATATTCATCGCTGATCGTGTTGGCGTTGACCTTTTCCGTCTCAGCCGCTAGCGACGAATCTGAATCGAATGAGTTCGTGGTGACGTTGGATCACTCGAATTTCAAGGATTTTGTCTCCAAGAACAAATTCGTCGTGGTTGAATTTTACGCGCCCTGGTAATTAATTTTCGTGCGTTATTGTGTACGATCTTGTTTTCTGTTTTCTTCACAGGCATTACATCTGTTTTGTGCTGCAGTTTCGATTTCCTTATCAGGATTAACTTCTGTCGATGTGTTTTTGTGTTGTTTGATTTCTGGGTTTATCGGTCTCTAATGTGGCAGATTATTTTCCCCTTTCTTTATTGATCTAGATATTGGATGCTTTGATGTAATTGTCTACTTACCTATAGTGTGAATTTCAGTTTAAAAAGGATTGATCTTGAAGTAGTGAATTTTCTTTCTTGATCTACATTTTGGATGCTTTGAGGTAATTGTCTACTTGTTATCTGTGCACTATGGTGTGATTTTCAAGCTGAAAAAGGACTGATCTTGAAGTAGTAAATTGGTTTTGTTCATGTGGTTAATTTAGGTTGCTGAAAAAGCCGTAGATTGTCCGTATATGTTGTAGCTAACCGCTGTGGAGTGTATATTGCTGGTTAAGGTGCTGCAAATTCTGTTTAGTGATCAGTTGATTAAGATTATAGAATAGTGGTGGTCATATCTTATGGTGAAGTTGAATTATTTATAAAAGTGAAGTTCCTGATACGTACTTATGTTTTACCAGGTGCGGTCATTGCAAGAAACTTGCTCCAGAGGTACTTATCTCTTGCTAGTTCTGAAAAAATGCGTTTCTTATTAAATCGTTACAGGATGAAGTTTTGAATAAACACACATATAGTGCTTACATATTTCTCTTTGCATTTTTCAGTATGAGAAGGCTGCTTCTGTTCTTAGCGCACTTGATCCTCCTGTAGTCTTAGCAAAAGTTGATGCTAGTGATGAGCAAAATAAAATCATTGCTAATGAATTCGAGGTCAGAGGTTACCCTACACTTAAGATACTGAGAAATGGAGGCAGTGTTATTCAAGACTACAAAGGACCCCGAGATGCAGATGGTATTGTCACTTATTTAAAAAAGGAGAGTGGTCCTGCTTCCTTTGAAATCAAATCCTCCGAAGATGTCACATCTGTAATCGACGATAACAAGATTCTTGTCGTAAGTATACTCTCTCTCATTCTTGCGTGTGTTTCAATGCCAAATAGTTGGAGTTTTAACGTAATCTAGAGAACTTGTAACTATGCCTGTAAGCGAACCGAGCTTGAGCTCGAGCCGAGTTAAATAAACGAGCCAGAAATCGATTTATCACTCTTAATGAGTCGAACTATTGAAAACAATATAAAAATTCTCTTTTCGAGCCTTATAGAGCCGAGCCAAACTCGGCTCGTTAAGGGACCGAGATCGAGCAGAGCCAGACTGGTTTAATTTAACATCACAACTCCGTATTGTATAGGTTGGCGTGTTTTCAGAATTTTCTGGTGAGAAGTTTGAGAATTTCACCTCTTTGGCTGAGAGACTGCGTGCTGATTATGAGTTTGGTCATACTTTGGATGCCAAACTTCTTCCTCGTGGAGACTCCTCTGTTGAAGTACCTCTCGTTAGGTTGCTAAAGCCTTTTGATGAACTCTTCGTGGATTTCCAGGTATATGTAAACAGTATCTCACTCGTACAATGCTTGTACATCTTTAATTTCCCTTAATTTGAAGTAGAAACTCTTCTGCAGGAATTTGATGTGGATGCTTTAGTGAAATTTGTTGAAGAAACTAGCATCCCAACTGTGACTCTCTTCAACAAGGATCCGAAGAACCATCCTTTTGTCATTAAATACTTCAACAGTCCCAACGCCAAGGTTCATAATGATTTACATTGTCTCTTTCCCCGAAAGATCGCACATAATTGTATCATAATTATGCAAAATATTCATAGACAGAATAAGATATAAATAAATAGACAGAAATGAATTATGCAACTACTACAGGTTGCATTTTCAACTCGATATGTTCTTTAGAGTAGTTGGATATTTTCTTCTAATAATGCTCTTCTAAAATCACCTTTCTACAATTCAGCTTTTACTGTTGAAAATCTAAGTTAACTTGTCAAGCATAAACTTTGCCTCACATTAGACTTGTTGTCTAGTAGTTAGTTACAACAAAGCAACTGTCTACTGAAGCAATGAAAGCAAAGCACAAGAAGAGTCATTTGTAGGTTGAAATTGATGCCCTTAATTGAATTACCATAAAAAATGGATTCATACTGTGAAGTAATAGTTAGTGTCAGTCATTTATATATTTTTATTAGAGGTTCCATCAATTTTCTGTAATCTAGCAATATTCAATATTTAGTAAAAATTTGATTATTCTCAAGTTAGCACTTAATTTGATCTCATTTTGGAAATATCACTTACAATATATATAACTAACTTTCGACATTGTCCTTTCTCCTTTTTTTCCCCTCTTCTTGATCCTATTTGATATCTCTATCTGTTTCTACTTTCCTATATTCTGAAAATTTGGTAATGTCTCAAATGATACTTTGTTGGTCCACAGGCAATGCTATTCATTAACTTTACCAGCGAGCAGTTTGATGCATATAAAACGAAATATCATGAGGTGGCTGAGCTTTACAAGGGCAAAAACCTGAGTTTTCTTATGGGCGATATTGAGGCTAGTCAAGGTGCCTTTCAGGTTCGTATTCTTGAAAACCTTATCTTTAATTCTTTTTTCCCAACAAATTACTATGCTGATAATTAAATCAACTCTCTTGAACAGTATTTCGGGCTCAAGGACGAGCAGGTTCCTCTTATCGTTATTCAAACTAATGATGGTGAGAAATATCTCAAACCTAATGTTGAGCCTGATCAGATTGCCTCGTGGGTGAAAGACTTCAAGGTACAGCAATGCATATGTATATTTAGCGAAATTTACAATTTTAGACACTACCCTAACTTTTTCATCCCCTTCGAAGAATTGTTGTTTTGAATTCCATCCCTTATGTTTGCAAAAAGGTTACGAAATGGTCATTTTTGCAACAAAAAGGTCCCCTTGGAATTTGCAAAAAAGTTGCAATTTCGTCCCCTTCGAATTGCTCGGGACCGTTTTGTAACCTTTTTGCAAATGTAAGGGACGGAAATCAGACAGATCAACATTTCGAAGGGGACGAAAAGTTAACGTAGTGAAACATACATAAATAAAGTTGTGATTTTTGCTCGGTATATATGTATATATAATACTTATATCATTTTCTTCAATTTGACTATATGAAATTCCTCAATGTTCCGTACGAAGGATGGCAATGTTAAAGCATACAAGAAGTCAGAGCCGATTCCTGAAGTTAACAACGATCCCGTTAAAGTGGTGGTGGCTGACAACCTCCAAGACGTGGTTTTTAATTCCGGGAAAAATGGTGGGTATCTGCTTATTT